AGGGGGGGGGGGGTGTCAAAACAGAAACTTAAGATTCAGGAGAAAACATATAAACAGACGTCTTCAGACGTTTTCCCTTAACCAGACGAAAGCTCTTTGTTTTAGAATGTACTTGTAGATCTCTGTGAGGGGTCTTATCTTAACGGCATAAAGGTAAAGGAACGTTATAACTGTGGAATGAAAGATTTGAAATCCCGGAGGAGAATGACTTACTCATTAAAATTCTGAGAGAGTAAGAGCTTATCTTCCAAACGTTCACAATAGTAAGACTTTATCTCCCAAATTTCAAAAAAGTGTTAGACTTAATCTTCCAAACTCCGAGAGTAGAATGGCTCTGAGAGAAGTACAGAATTGTCTGCAAACCCCAAAAGGAGACAGACTTTACTCTCCTAACGTCAAGAGGAGTAAGAATTGTGTTTCTTTTCTGTTTGGGGGCAATCATCGGGTGAGCTGTTTGGCAACGATCTCAAGCCCAAATAGACACATACCCGTGTTCTCGGAGAGGGTGCTTTTGAAATAAAAATGGTGAAATGGTATGGGTTTGACGCCCCTATCAACACTATGAAGTTGTTTAACACTTTGCCACCTCATCTCGCCGATTTGCGATATTTACAACCCAGTTTCTTTGGATTTTTCCCTAAATATGATTGCAAGTGTAAAGAGGTGGGACCTACCAGTTTAACGTCCATCTCCGAAAGGACCGAGCCAAGTCGGAAATTGGTGTAAAGTGCCTTTCCCAAGGACACACCGCCGGACCGAGCCGAGGCTCGAACCCCCGAACCCGCAATCTCAAGATTACTAGTCCGTCAGCCAAACCACAGGCTACCGGCATCATTTACGGTGCTCTTGGCCATCTGGTAAAGTAAAGGAAAGGGAAGAAAGGTAGAGACGGGAAAGATGGCATATCAGTGATCACAGGTGGAGCTTTGAAAGGTGTCCAATTACACAATTACACGGGTAGATGGGTTAAATCTATCACCATTCATTGTCTGCAACGTACGCAGGTTTTTTAAAATTCTTCATTGGGTCTGTTTGGTAGTTTTTATCGCTGTTTGTTTGCTTGTTTATTTTGCTTATTTCTTATGCATTGTTTTGTTTTGGGATGTTTAGGGGGTGGGTTTCTTTGGGGGGGTATTTGTGTGTGTGTGTTTCTTGCGAAGGGGTGGGAGTGTGGGAAGAGAGGTCG